CATCTCCCCGGGGTGGTAGCCTGGGGCTTCTCCAGCAGGAAAGCAGCTGCATCCACTGTGGGCAGAGACCAGGTCTGGGAGCAGGCCCCAAGGGAGGCTCACACCCCAACTGAGAGTGACTGGAAACCAAGACTGGAGGGGACCATGGAGGAGATCCTTCTGAGGCTGAGGACAGGGCATCACTGAGCATTCACAGGAGATGTCCTCTCTCCGGCGCTGAGGCAGGCCCAAGCACCTGAGGGTGCAGTAGTGCTAGGGTGCAGCCCCTGGCTGGCTGGCACTGCTTCTGCCTCTTGGCATGCCTCACAGGTCTGGACCACCCATAGTAGACATCTGGAGTTTTCACACTTGCACCCATCTACCCTTTTGGTGATCCAGACCTGGAATTTCCTTTGCAGACCACTCTCCACTTCTCCACCCTCAATCTGAGGCATGAGGTTTGGGGAGATAGACCCCACCCCATCTTTCCAGGGTGGGTCCTGATTGTCTTGAGCCAATTAGAGTATTTCCTCTGCCTGGTCACAGAAATTGTTCAGGAATGGACATGTGTCTATGAGAGCCAGGCCCCTCAGACTTCTGTTCCAACTCTTGGGAGACATGTACTCTCTTTTCTGAACCATGCAGTGCAAAGAAGTGAGCCTATTGGTGCAACAATATAAATAGCATTGAGAGAAGTGCCCAGAGGTGCTGGAAGCAGAGGAGTGAGGTTAGGCTGACAGCAACCACCCTGTGGAGCATGAAGATAAAGGAGGCATTGAGAAAGACTAAGGGAATCCACACCTGTGGTGGCATCATTTGAGCTGCTGGATCAAACCTTACCTGAAGTCCTCCTCCTGCCAGCCTTTTCAGTTATGTGGACCAGTACATTCCCTTTATATCATTTAAACCCATTTGACTTGAAATTTCAGTTACTTGCAGCACAAATATTCCAGAACTGTACTGACCAGCAGGGATTCTCATTTCAACAGGGGCTGCTATGAGTCACGGCACAAGAGGAGCTGATCTTGGCAGCATGTGCAGTGGCTTTACTGCAGTTGACCTAGGAAGAAAGAAGAGCAGTTCCGTAGCCCTGCTCAACAACCTCAAATACAACCACCTCTGTTGAGATCTGTGTACAAAGTGTCATGCAGCTCCATCCTGTCCTCTGGTGGTCACATCACATGGGATGCTGTGGGCCAAGGCTCTTAACAGGAGGTGAAACAAGCTTACAGAGGTGGGAGAAGGGGGGACTTCCTAGAAGGAGCAGGATTTTAACTGGGGCTGATGTGATTGGAGAATGGACGGTGGGGAGTAGAGGGGCATTCTTATTCTAAGCTGAGAGAACCACTGATGTTTCAGGTTTGGGCAGGAAACCTCTGGTCCCGACCAGGCAATGGGGGGTCTTGCTCTGGGAAGGCACATTGGGCCGGGCGTCGGCTGACGTGCAGGCAGGGTGATGAGCTGGGGACAGTGACAAGGACCTGCAGGGTCAGTGGGAGTAACCGGGTGGGGGGTGCACTGTGGAGTGCTCGCTGTGGGGCACAGCAGCAACAGCCATTGGTACCTGACTGGACCTGGGGCTGGGGCGAGGGAGCAGCTCAGGTTCATTCCTAGTGCCAGGAAGCAGTCAGTGGCCGGAGGGACCTCACAGGGAGAGGACAGCAGGGGTGGAGGCTCCTCTCGGATACAGGGGAGATGCCCCCACTCAAGAGCAGCATGCTCCTCACTTCCAGCCACAGGCCGGGGTTCAGGTGTAATGGGTCCTGCCCAGCTCTCAAGGGCAGGCTGTGGCCACTGCTTCTCTCACCGGCCTGGGCTGTCAGGGACGCCTCCCTGAAGTGTTGCCGGGGCTGCTGGGTGGATGAACCCAGACACACAGCCCAGCCTGGTGTCTGTAACCAGACTGTTCAGTGAAGCCACCCGAATTAGAACTCACTCTCCTGGCATTCGGTCCAAGGTTGTAGGGAGGGG